CTGGTGAACACTGGATTATTGGATGTGGTAGGCAGGTCAACTCAATGACCCAATCTCAGACGGTCTAAATAGATGTCCAAGATAGTCCCCTCCTATTAGTAGTAGTGATTAATAAGAGAAAATGGAAGAGAAATTTTGGGTATCAAGCATAGTTTATCTTCTCAAGTTGGGAGCAATGAGAAACCAATTAGAGGGAAAGAAATTAGAAAATATAGTCAGAAGAAAAACAGCTTTTGTAATTTAGCATCTGAGAAAAACAAGGTAGAAGTGCTTGCTGGGTTACAAGGTTTACCTACTCTCAGTTATTCCAAAGCAACTTTTTGGATCAACTGATCTCAAACAGCCTATTTAAGGACCCATGGAGGCTAGCCAACTGCAGAGATCTTTAAATATATATATTCCCAGATTTACCTATAGAGAAAGTCTAATCTATGACCAGGGAAATTATACTTCTCAAGTTTAAAGGAAAGATTGAGAGTGGACTTGAAAAACATTTGTGCAGTAGAGATAAGCAATAGGAAGCCACTGTAAGCTCTTAATGCATCAGAGGAAAATCATTAAACAAGTCTTTAAGGAAACAGTCTGGCAGTAAAGGCATTGGCCTGGAGTAGTTCTCCCAAAATTGAAACTATAGGCAGATGACATAGGCATCTTGTAAAAATTCCCATTCAGTAGGTCTGGCTGCATTTGTAGCCAGCCTCCAGGTGAGGCCAAAGCTGCTGATCCTCCAAACACACTTTGAAAAGCTGAGTCCCGAAGGACCTGCTAAGGCTGGAGTTCTGGTACCTGGAGGCTCTTGGTGTGGCACACAGGCTGCTGGGACCAAGTAAACATTTCTTTCTGGAGGGAAATTCCAAATGAGATTGTGAGGTATAACAGAAGAGTCCCTTCTGAAATCAGGAGTCCCAGCTCTGGCCTTTGGAGAAGTCAGCTAGCTTGTGAAAATTACTTTCTTCCTGAGCCTCCGTGACCACATAGGTAAAATGTCAGGATTGAATTATGATGTCTCTAAAACACTTTCGTATTCTATGACCCTATATCTTCTAACCCAGCACATAGAATAGGGTCAAACCAATTTAGGTGGCCTTTTCTAACTCTGCAGGTTATTAGTTACCATATTTTGAAGAATCAACATGCATATCCTTTTGGTATGTTTGCTGTAAAACATACACATTGTTCCTATACATCAATTGTATACATTAATATTTAGACATGCAATTGCACCCTAAAAGGGGGAAATACATTTGTATGTGGGAGATTGATAAAAGAAAATGCTATTGTATTCAGCATTTACACTGTATACAGACTGAAAAACATTACACTTTATTTTTTAAATATTGTAAGGGCTGTTATAAACAAGTCATAGCTTACAGATGTGTGTAAAAGCTGCATGAATTGTGCACATTTACTATTTAGAGGAAAAAACTTGGTCTTAAAAATTGTTTGGACTGTATGTTCTTTTCTTTTTAGCAGAGTGAGAGCCAAAGGAATTGAATTACAGGGTAGAATATAAAATACCTCCTTAAGGAAATAAATGTGTAATAGGAACTATATAGCCAGTTCTCTCAGGCATGGGAATCCCCCAGGGCTCATGTAAATGTGTATAAGTATGTCCTCAGTGTCACTCCAGATGTTTTTGCAGGGAAAGAATCCTTCTCCCCCACACACTGACATTAACGCTCTATGAGTAACCTCCATGCTCAGACTTGTCCTAAGCCAAGTAGCATCCTGAAGGGGGGCCCCAGGCACGACTGGAGAGCCACAGGCCGTTCCTGCCCCTCTCCTATACCTGGAAGGTCATCGTTGTTGCTAAGTATCCTCCTTGGCTTGGAGGGGAGAATGGAGCCTATAACTATTAACACAGGATAAGGCTCAGAAGCAAAGTTTACCAAGCAGAGAAATCAGGCCAGGACAACTTTAAAAATGGTGATTAAGTCTCTGCACAGTTATCTCTGGAGATTGTCCTTGAGCTGTAGCTGAACAGGGCCTTTTCTGCTGTGTGGGTGGTCTGCTTGTAGCTTGTAGTTTTGACTATAGTCCTCAGGGCAACCTGAGCTGCACATTTTTACTGTAATAGCCTCTGGCTGCTGAGGCTATAAAAAGGAAGATCCTGGCTTGTGCAGTTGCCCCTCAACCCTGCTTTACCTGATGACAGGGCCAGGAAGGATCCAAGGCCTTCCTCAGGCAGGCTCCTGAAACCTCCTGTCTCCCAACCTCACCTACCTTCTTTATTCATACCTCCCCACTCTAAGCAGAAATGTCACATGCCAGCAGCCACAGCTAAAAGTAAGTAATGGCAATATGGTGAAGGGTTCCAAAACAGAATCCTGCCACTGCATATAGTGCTTAAAATCATAAATGCAGCTAAGGGGCAGTGAACTCTATCTAGAGACAATGACAGGAGTATGGTGCCAACACATATAAGATCACATATATAAAGAACCAAGTATCAGACCTAGAAATCCTATGGCAGAGACTGTTGGTCATCCCCCAATATTTATTCTCCTTTTCTTTAGTAATAGAAGCCTGAATCTTATCAGGGTATATGGCCGCCCAGAATAAGACTACATTTCCCAGCCTCCCTTGCAACTGGGTATGGCTCTGTGACTAGGTTCTGGTTTCTGTGGAGTCTCCTTAAAGAGAGGGAGCTTGCCCTTTTTCATAACTTCGTCCTTACAGCTGGCTGGAATGCAGTCTTCTTGGATAATGAGGTGAAATACATTTCTTAAAGTTGGTGGAACATGATAGAAAGAGCCCAGGTACCCGATAATCAAGGAGATAGCCACCATACTGATTCTGGCTTGCCTATGTTTATGTAACAGATATATTAACTTCTCTGTTGTTTAAACCTATGTTGGTTTGGATTTTCTGATACTCACAGCTCAAATGTGATCAAATTGATAAAATTTCCTTCTCCTTAGGATCTCATATGTCAATGACACCCCAAAATTAATCACATCATTGTTTCATCAGAGAGGAACATCCAGAATAGCTTTGAAGCCTTAAAAAATCTTTTCATCATAGATCTACTCCATGTGTTCTCTAATTGCAACAAAATAAAAATGTAATGTACAGTACAATATTCCTCCTTTTCAGTAAACAGTGAAAAGGTAGACATTTTAACCCTAATAAAAGTCTTACCATCAAGGCAGATGACTTCTCCTGAAATACTTGTTATAGTAACTTAATTTTTATACTCTTGACCACTAGATACCAGACACTGGGTATAATTTCGTCCCTTTGGTCTCCCCTCCAAGTCCTTGAGGGGTGGGAAGAATAATTTTTGGCTGACAAGGTAAGTTCATGTTAAAGAGCAAGAAAGATTCAAAACTTATATAAGTGATATGTATCCATGACATTTAACCCTTGAAATATTCTTAATTTGCAGATTCTGAAACTCAGGCTCCAGCAAGTGGCATGTTTTGCCCAAGATAATAGACTATTAACTAGGGACCTTGGATCCAGGTTTTCTGATTCATACTGTATCATAAATGTCTACTGTCTGTCTACCTACAAGACTGTAACTTATTATTCATCATTGTATACCTATACCCAGTGCCTACCACAGGGCCTACCATATTAAACATCCTCAATAAATACATGTTAAATGAATTAATAAATCTAAAATCCCACTCTGCCATTGTTCCCCTGCTCTGCAAGAGTTCTACAAGCCAATGCTCTTAATATCTTCCAGGTCACTCTTAAGACCATATGGCCTGTCAAGAGAATGTGGTCAAGGATGAGACAGAGGGGAGCAGAACTAGTGAACACACCCATATGACACACTTGTGTTCTCCTCCACACTCTCCTGGGCCTGGGCGGGCCAACCACGTAGGGCATTTGGATATGTGCCTCATGGCCTGGGATACAACTTGCCCTTTGTGTATTTTTCCAGGGAAAGGAAAAAGCAACTGCAGCCTAACACATGTTAGAAATGCTGTTGCCTGGTGTCCTGACATCATAGCATCCACCCAGTCCGATTCTTGGAATCAGGCCCACTTGCCAGTCATGCGCTGGGGAGGATATAGAGAGAAAGGACATGGGAAGAGGAGTTAGGCACTGTAAAATGGAGTATGTGGCTAACACATGCTGTGCGACCAGACGTTGTGTGACACAAAGCACGGGCTAAGATTAGAATGAGAACTCTCAGCTTCTTGTATCCATGTGTCTCTGCTGGATCGGAGCTGGTCCTGCTTCAGTTTCTCTCAACAACAAGAAGGATGAGGCTGGTCTACCTGTCTACCACTTCCTTTACCCCTCTGTCCAGTAAAGATGCCAGAGGAAGAAAACTTTCTTTCTGTGGCTCCTTACAGAGTAAGGAGGTGAAAACAAGTTCAAGTAATCATAAGGAATCTACAGCTAAATTATCACCTGGCATGATGGAAATAAAATTTTTATAAAATATTGTCATGGTATTAGGGTCTTCCAATGGGAAAACCAAAAGTTAAGCCTGTGCTGGCATTCACTTTCTAATAAATGAGCTGGCTTAAACATTGATTTTCTCTCCTTGACTTGTAAAAATGACCTAAAAATGTGAGAGAGTTCAATAAATGGTTTAAAGATTGTCATTAAGTACAAATACTTTAACAAAACCAGAGGAAACCAACTTTAAAATCCCACCTTCCTTCTTGCCCTTGCTCCAAAGTCAGGATGAAAATTCAGGGTCCCAAACACCACCACCAGTTGCCTCCTACCTAGCACATAGCTGGTGACAAGGAATTCTGTGTGCCTTATGAATTGGCACCTCACAGACTTTTTAGAGAATTTGTTGACTTGGATTGGATTCAGCAGAGTGTATTAATCCTTTGGGGAATATTCACAGACAACAGCTACAGGGATATACATTTTCCTTTGTTGAAACTTGTATCTGCATTCAGATACTGGCCTTGGCATTTCCTAAGTGCTAGCTGCTTTGAATGTTACTATGTTAAACCACCTGCACTGGAAAGTAAAATCCTGTTAACAATATATGATCACAGGTTGTAAGGAGAGTGCCATGTTCCCCACCATTATACACTTTATATTTTGAAAATATCCATAAGAAAAGGTCCTATTAAAATAACAACTCTTTGTCAAAGTGGAAGTGAAACTTTTATACAATACGAGACAATGGTCAATATGAAAATTCAGTTTTGTTTGTGTGCGTTTTCAGTGGCTCCCTTGCAATGGCTCACTAAAATAAAACCTTTTTTTCTGAACCCGAAAATAGATGACGAGAGGCTTCACTACCTGGGAGGCAACCTGCCTTATGTTCTCATTGCCTCACAACCAGAAAATCTCAAGAGAGAAGCAAATGGTCTGGTGGAGGTGGCTGTTCATCTGACTGAGGATAGAAGCTCAAATCAAGGTTCTAGAGAGAAAGTGCAAAGTGAATGCTGAAAGGAGGTGATTGAGTGGAAGAAAACTGAAGTGTTAGCTTCACTGGAATTTTTAGACACTCTGATGGGGGTGGAGGGTGGGGGAATAGACTATTCTTGTACTCCCAAGCGACAGGTAAGGGGATTTGACCCAATCCTAAAGTGACAAATGTGCAGGTCTAAGACCAGGACGTCAATGCCAGGTACCCCTGACTCTGGAAGATGGACGGCTAGGGCAGCAGGACCCCAGATGGGAGTGGGGTGGGAGTGGGGTGGGTTCAGTCCTCGCAGAGTCCGTGAGCGAAGCATGCCTGAGAGTTTCAGCTGTCCTAAGAACGTCGTCAGGGAAATCCAAGAGTAAGGAGGCTGTGAGCTCAGGTCCAAACACGATCCCAATTGTGACACTACCTCACTCCCCGGGCATCACGCACTCTGACCAAGTGCAGGGACGGCAGTTAGGGTCTGAATAGTGTATGTCAAGGTGTATGTGAAAGTGTATGCAGACTCACAGAATCCCTAAAATGAGATGAAAATTGGAAGAATATAACATCAGCCTGGATGAAGAAGGGAATCGAGAGTCCCAAAAGGCCAGAAGCTGTAAAATGAGGTTCGATGCTCCAGTTCGATCCCTAACAGGTTAATTTCCTGAAAGCAGATCAAATCTGGTATTAGATTATAATAGGAAACAAACAAAACCTGGCCGTGAAAGGGGAAGGCACCGCTGTTCCCCATACATACCGACCCAATTCCTTGAAGGGAGTGTTCATGCCAAGTTCACCTGGGGATCCTCAGCGCGACTTCAAGGATTTGGGAATGCTTCTGGAAAGTCACATGAATGAAAGAGAGCGAAAGCAAGAATGAGCGAAAGAATTAATTACCTGCCCTGGGCCAGATGTTTTACGCATGCATTCTCTGGTGGGAAGGGAGAGGAAGGCAAGGCGGGAGCGAAGAAGAGAGCTCGAGAGAGAAATTCTGCCTGCCCCCAAATGTCAATTTGATCTAGGTCGGTGGTTCTCAAACTTTGGGGTTTGAGAATTACCCGGAGGGCTTGTTCAAACACCAATCGCTGGGCCACAGTCCCAGAGTTTCTGACCCAGTAGGTGGAGCCAGAGAATCTGCATTTCTAACAAGTTCCAGACGTTGCTGATGCTATTGGACCACACTTGAAGAACTACTCCTCTAGACTGTAACTCTGGACGGATCCCAGAGTCCCAAGGAAACGCTCTCTGTAGTGAGAATTGGAAACTCCAAGGCAATCCAAGGCCCGGTATTTTTGAGAGAGATCGCAGAGAACGGAGAGCAGAGAAGCTCAGCTTCAGCTAGCTCACTGCCGCGTAGGAATGGGAGCTCACTGGAAATCAAGATTATCACCTGAATTTTCCTAACGTTTAAGCATTGGCAATTAAGTATTTCTTTTTAAGTGAAAGCCTATTTAAAATAGATTTGCAGACTCTGCCTTAGTCTTTTCTGAGAACAATCTTTTCCGAGGGCGAGGGCTGGCACAGTCCCATGCTAGGCAGGTGGACTCACCAAAAGGGCACCATCCTCAGGGCCCTCCCTCCTGGGAGGTTCCTGGGTCTTATCCTCCGCTGCTGAGGTCTTAGTCACCGACACCCAAAGGCTACGTTAGAAAAGCACCGTGAATTGCAAACTGTCCTTTGACGCAGGAGCCTAGGATTTGACCCGGTTTCTCTCTGGTGAGGCGAACTGCCGGAGATCCGCTTTCCTAGGAGCACTGAAGCCGAAAATGCTCCCTGTCGTGGAGCCTGCGTCCAAACCTCGGCAAGGGTCGCGGGCCATCCTGCGGCCGAGCCCCACCGCGCCCAGCACGTGCAGAGCCAGCCGGCGGCGGCGGCGGGCTCCTGCCACCTGAGACCTCGCGGGACTCCGCGCGGCGTGAAGACGCGGGGCCGCGTGAGAGCAGTAGCACGAGACCGCGAGGGACTGACTGATCGCCGGGCCTCCTCAAGTGCGGGCTGGGCCTTGCTGCGGCGACGGTCGACGACTTCACTCAGGAAAGCCAAACCACGATGGGCCCCTCGTGGAAAGGTCTGCCTCAGGCTTGCCCGCCCCGGCCATGGCCACGTAGCTAACCCTCCCATCCGGTCTTCAGCCCTCGCAGGCTGCCCCCGCTTCCCCTCGACTCGGTGCCCTGAAGGCTGGGGGCTGGAAGGGAGCCCGCTGGGACCTTCAGGAGAACGAGGCTGAGCGAGGGGCGCAGGCACAGGGCGGGGGGGGGGCGGTGCCACTGAGGCAAGCATGCACTCCTCACGCTGTCCCTGCAGGCCTCGGGTGCCTGTGGCTTTGCGGCTTGGCCTAACTCAGGAGGCGGCTGGGCAGAGAAATTGGACAGCTGGAGGCGGCGGGAGGCCCTCAGGCGCCCAGCCGGGGAAGGCTACCGCGCGCTCAGCGCCTCTCGCGTCGCGCCTCTTCCTGCCCTCAGGTCAAGGAAAGCACAGCCCGCCAAGGGATCCATTCCCGACAGGATTCCAAACGCTGGAGTAGGCTGAGGGCGTAAGTCGTGGGGAGTGGGGCAGCCCTTCCGAGGGCGGTTCGCAGAGAAGCCTTTCCTGCCTCTCCTCCAGGGACAAGGTCCGAGGCTTGGATTCTGAACTAATCAGCACCGGACCGCCCGATAACGCCCTGAGCTGGGGTCAGAACTAGTGTGTTTCCCCTGCCCTATGGAAATTAGAGCCTCCCAGAGCAGCAGCGGGAGTCCGAAAATCTATTTTAGAAAAATCCACCAGCAGAGGAGTCGCTAGGGGGCCACCGCTTCGGGCACTCACAAAGGCCCCAGCAGTAAGCGTAGAGCGCCTTATTGGCCCTGACAGCAGGCCCAGGTACTCTCCCCAGCACCCCTGCGGCGCACACGATTCCTCCTCAGCAGCAAAGGGGCCCTGGACAATGTGCGGAACCCAGCGGCGGGGGTGGGTCTCTGGTTCCCCGGCAGTCACACCCAGGAGTCAGCCGCCGGGGTGACCGCCCCCCGGCGTCCGCGCCACGTAGTGCCGGGCTTCTGCCTCTAGGGCGCGCTGCGGCTCTTCCCGCTGTACGCTGAGCTCCAGCCTACGGCTGGGCTTTCCCATCCCATCTCTCGGCAGAGCGTCGATTTAACAAACTTCTTTAAAAGATATAATTCTTACAGTCTTTTGGCCCCAGCCTCCTCATCCTCAGTTCTGAGCCCAGTGCCCGCGATCCTCTTCTAGGTTTTCGTGGGGGTCCTCACCATTACTCCGGGGCTGGAGTGCAAGAGCCCGCAGAATAGCTGGTCGCCCAACTTCTCCGGGCTCCGGCGAAAAGGGGCAAATTGCGGCAAGTTCAAATGCGAAAGATCCCCGCCCTTCAGAGGCAAGGAAAGACTGGGGAAAAGGGAGGCGAGTTCTCAGAAGCCGATTTAAAATAGATTTGCAGACTCTGCCTTAGTCTTTTCTGAGGACAATCTTTTCCGAGGGCGAGGACTGTAAAAAAAGATGGGGTTTGCATAATTTGTGTCTTAAAAGATAAAAGTTTTTAGGCTGTCCGCACGCGCTATCAGGGTGGGAGAAGCTCAGAGTCAACCCAGGGAAGCCTGTGTTTGACACCTGTTCGCTGCTTAACTGGAAGAGCTTCCTGGGTGGGCCAAGGGGGAAGGGGCCTACGCTGCGGATCCCCTCCTCCTCCACAAACTCCTCCGCGTTTCCTCTCCCCGGCCTTCAACCCGTCCTCCAGGGGAGTAAACTTTCGGCGGTTCGAGTTTGGGCGGCAGCTGCTCTCGCGCCCCTCTTCAGTATGTTAGCCATTTCCTTGGAAGCGTCCTTGATGTCAAAAGCCCTGAGCGGGGAGGACAGCAGATGACCCAGTGAGCGGAAACCTCAGAGTGAATCGGCAGCGCAGCTCGGGGAGAATGCAGGGAGAGTGGGACGGCTGCGCAGAGACTCGGCCCCCCGGGCGCAGCTGGGCCGCTGTAGGCTCCAGGACTTGCCTTTCCGCACACCCATACCCCACAGCTGGCGTGGGCCCGAAGGCCTTTCTTCCGTGCCGGGTGTTGTCTCCCGGGAACTCCAGCGGATGAGGCTGCTCCTGGGTGGGCCCCCACAATGCGTGCGATCTAGATGGCAACGTGAGCAACCGGGCTTGCCGGGACTGAATTTGGAGAAACTCTAGGGCCCGTCCGCGGGGGCTCAGAGGTGTTCCCGGGGAGCCCTGCGTGCAGTGCTGGGCCCCACTGAGCCTCGGGTTCACTCTCGGCATGGGGCGTGCACCTGTCCATTGCAGTGGCGGAGCCTGAAGGTTTCCGAGGCGCTGCCCCGCCACTCGGCTTCCCCTAAAGCCCGGAGTTCGCTGACTCTTTCCTACGTTTCAAGGGACCGCAGCGCTCAGGCGGCCTGACCCGGACTCCACTGTGGAACTTCGGAGGCCGGGGTGGGCGAGGTAAACATGTTATGGAAAAACCTGGGCTCTAGAGTTTTGCGGAGCCAGGG